CCCCGGGGCGGGCGCGACCACTGGGCAGCCATGTCACTTGCCGACAGACGGCGCCATCTTCTCACTTCCTGAAGGAAACTTGGCAAAGGCAGAAAGGACAAGGCTGCTGCTCCTGACTGTCCGGCACCACCGTCCTGGCTCCTCGCTTTTAAGGAGAGGCAAACGCCAGACAGAGCCACATCCTCTTACAGGTCTGAGGGCTTTCTCCCCCTCTTAGTAGCTAAGCAAGGCAGTTTTCTAAAACACTAACCCTCGATTAGTCAAAGACAAAAAAAATCTGTCTCTAATTATCTACAAAATACTGAAAACATAAAGTTAATTGCTATAATTTAGTGGCAGCGATTTAAAATAAGGCAACTTAAGAAGTGTGTACCAAGACAGTTGGTTCGCAAGGGGAATACAATAGTGTGCGGTTTTCAATTTCAATGTTCAATCAGCCAAGTAAAATTGACATTATAATTTAGCAGAGAGTCGACGCTGTGTACGCAGATATGCTACAAACATCCTGTCTTAAGCCACCTGCCACGGGGAACTTCAAGCTCATCAAAAACCAGAGACAATACTTGACGGCAATTACTTTGTAAACGAGCGACTAGGGAAGGCTCGCCGCGCGCCCTGCGGGGCTCACCCGCCCGGGGCAGGAGGCCGAGACTGCGGCCTGGGCGAGGCCAGTCGCCCCACGGCAGGACTGCGCGCCCGTGCCCACCGGCCCCACGCTGTGGGTCCCGAGACACAGTAGAGGGGGCCGGGCAGGGTTGGGGGTCAAGCGGAGAGCGCTCCGGGCTCGGGGCCTGATGCCCGTGTCCACCTAGCGCCGCCTTCACACGCACAGGGCCACGCAGCCATCGGTTTCTGCCACATCTAGGCTTGCGCCTGGCATAAAAGTGGGCCCAGCAAAGGCCGTGCTGGCTGCGCGGCTGGCGGGTAAAGGCTGCGTGCGGCGGGCTCTGCGGGCCTCCAGCGCCCCCGCCAGCCGCAGAGGCGGGCGGGAAGGGACCCCAGTGCCTCCCAGAGTGACAGGAGCAACTTTTACAGCTGCTGCTTTAATGCTTTAAAATTCCAGGTAGGTTCTTACTTAGGTAAACCCACTGGAGCAGAAAAATGTTCATGAAAAAAATCAAGAAAAACTCAAATTTCTCCCAAGATCCTGCTTCCTAACTCCACTGACGGGCTCTCGCACAACAAAGCAAAAGCTGGTCAGTGTGGTACCGGGCCAGCGAACTCAGGACAGCCACAGTGGAGCCGGCTTGCCCCACGACACGAGTGACACCGAGAACCGCCGCCGCCCGGCCTCGGCGACTTCAGCCCTCACGGGACACGGCCCCAGGCTGATGACGGCCGGACAGCTGCAAGGAGCTGAACAGGATGCTCATTTTTATTGTGATTTATTTTCATCAGATTTTTCTTTGGAAATACTTACTTCGATGGAGCTGGCTATATTCAAACATTCCTCCATTCCAGGAATATCCAGCTGAATGATGCGAAAGTCTTTACACTTTATGACGATCGTACCGAGCGGGCCCACAAACCTGCAAGAACGACAGACGGCGCTTAGGAACGTGCTCCTGACGTGCCGTGTGTGCGTCTTCCTGCGAGCAGCACACAGCTGTGACTCGTCTATGCTCCATTTTCATCTCCCCGTCAGTCCAGTGAGAGAAGAGGAGCTTGCCTGCATCACTATCTGTGAGCCACAGAGTATTTAAAATGCTGTGTATTTAAAACTTTTTCAGCTACACAGAGTAATTCACAGCAGGCCAGTTTCCTTATGGGGGTTATCTGGGAGCCTCATTTCAAAGAACAAGAAAACGACACCCGCAGTGAATGTGACTGTACACAGACACTTCTAAGACAGAGAAACAATTCAGTTCAGGTTTCACTTACTCTGAAGGTTCCAGCAGTTGACTGGCACGTAAGCGTCTTTCAGGCGTTCAAAACAATTACCTGGCAATTTCACTTCTAAGTCAAGGAAAACGTCAGAGAAGATGTTGTATCTACTCATAAATTTTGTATCACTGAGCTTTATTCGCATTGACTCTGCCTGGGATTCTGTGATTGTGGCCTGGACTTGTGAGAGCTCTGATGATTCTTCTGCTTTGCCACTGACTGTTTCCGTTCTTTCCCGTGAACACTTACTCCGTGGCCAAGAATTCACAGACTGATGGAGAGCGGCCCCCTCCGGTACGGGCCCCGTTGCGCGAGCGGCTCCCTCGGCCCCTCTCCCTGAGCCCCGTGTCAGCAGCAGTGAGCGCCCCGGGGCCTCACGCCCCACACTGGCTCACTCGGACAGGCTCCAGACCAGCAGCTTCGAGTTCTAGTCACGGAAATGGCACCAGACCCCCGGACAGGCTTTAAGAAACCGAGAAGCTTCTCAAAACCGCAGCCCTCCCATGGCCTCTCCAGGGGTGCTGTCCTCCCCCCAATCTTCACATGGTCCCCAACCCAGAGGCTCTCTGAAGCCCCTTCCTCCTGGGCTTTTCTGGGGGCTTCCCCACAGACACACTGACTGAGCCGCTGGCCACGCCAACCCCAGGGACGGGGGTGGAAATGCAGCCCTGGCCCCTCACAACCTGGGCCACCGGGGACCTCACCCGGACAGCCGCACGGGCGGGCGCTGTCTGAGGAGACAGCTGTGGGGCTCTGGATGCCGGGGGAGACTGGACTGTAGCTGGAGCAGGCGCAGCAGTGTGCTCGAGTCAACTGGGCCACATGCCCCCTCTCCCAGACAGGAAACTGCTTTTTCTCATCACAGAAGCAGAGAAGCAGCCACCAAGGACGCTGCCCTTCCCCTCCCCGGGGCATTCCGGTGGCTTAAAGGGCCAACTCGCTTTCCCACCCCCTTTCATTTTTCATTCTTTTTTTTTCATCTTTCAGGACCTAGACATTAAAGACGGGACATTAAAAAGCAACTGCGGCCCTCCCTGGTGGCGCAGCGGGTTAGAGCGCAGCACTGAGAATCTAAAGACCCACGTCCGCATGAGTTCGATCCCCGCCTGCCCCGGAGGTGACCACAGGGCGCGGCAGACCTCTCCTGACCCGCCCGCTGCTCCCCTCAGCAGTGGACTTCGTCGATCTGCCTGTTCTGTTCCCTGCTCTGTCTCTGGGGAAGCCTCTCACCGCCCCTGAGCCTCTGGCCTGTACCCCAGTTCTGTATGCACAAATAAATAAATCTTCAAAAAAAAAAAAGCCCCTGCACAAGTGGGGGAAGTCAGCACGCATTCACGCATGCCCAGGGGAACACTCAGAAAAGACCAAAAAGATATTTAAGTCTCAGACTGGCCCTTGGCACAGACAGCCTGTAACAAGCCACCAAAAATAACAAAAGCGGAGAGGCCTGGGGAAGAGGGGGGCTCAGTCTGGTCTGCAGACTTACTGCATCAGCAGATGCCAGTGACCAGTGTTCAACAAACATCCCAAGGTCTGCAAACAGGCAGAAAAGTCAGGCCCGCTCAGGGGGAAAACAAGCAAACCTACAGTAACTGCTCTGGGCACAGGGCCGGGGGCAGTGCGTCAGACACTTTACACGGGGGTCAGAACGACGCTAGGAACTGAGGACGTGCAGAAAAGCAAGAAAAACGAACAGACCGACAGATAGCAAACACAGCTACGAGGAAGCCAAGAACACTCGGGGCTGAAAAGCAGTGACTGAAATGAGCTGCTGGAGCACTCGGGCAGACTCGCGGCGGCGGGGGCCCGCCGGGGGACGGGCTGGCGGCACCCGACTGAGCAGACGGGACGAGCGTGGCCGCGTGACTGGGTCGCCGCCAAGCGACGGCAGTCGGGGCCCAGGGCGCGGGGCGCAGAGCACCTGAGACGCCAGGGCCGAACGTCTCCCAGGCTGCACCGCGCCGCGAGGCGAGGACAGCAGCCGCCAGCCGGCACGGGCACGCGGCTCGCCGCCCTGCTCCCTCCTGACCCAGCACCAGCCGCGGCCCCTTCTCCGTCTTGCGTCGCCTGCAGTTCCTCTTGAGGCTCTGTGCGCAGCTGGAACCTCGCTGCAGAGGGACGCCTGGAACAGGACCCATCGGCACCCCTGGACGTACGTCCATTCAGGGCGGCTGCTGCGGCAGTGACCTCCGCGCTCTGCCGTCAGAAGAGCTGCCAGCGGCGGGGCCCGCAGCCCCACGGAGCCCGAGGCAGCGTGCACTGGGCGGCTGAGCCCAAGGCCGGGCGCCCCGAGTGCTCTTCCGCTCGGCCCCTCTCGCCGCCCGGCTCCTGTCGCATGGGTGTGGCCGGCCTGGGGACTGCGGGCCGCGTCTCTTCGCTGTAGCGCGCCTCAGTCACAGCGGGCGTCAGGCTGTCTGTGTGTCCCCGCCTGCAGCGCCACTGACTTCCCCGCTGGCTGGCCGCGTCGCCCGGCCCCGCGCCGGCTCCCCTGTGGTGTCCTTCGTAGAGCAGAAGCCTTCGTTTCTAAGTAACACGTTGAGAGCAAAACAAGTAACTGTACGCTTCAACACGTGCCTGCCTTGCACTTCAGACTCCGTAAAACCAAATATTCTCGGCTTTGCTGAAGAAAAGAGGTCTTTAGTCCTCACACAAAGCCACCAACTTTCCGTGGCCCTCCCTCACGCTGCCTGCGCAGCCCTCCCTGCCCGGTCCAGAGTCGCTTCCTCACCGCCTTCCCCCAGCAGTGCAGTCTGACCCTATTTCCAGGGCGCAGTTTGCCCGGACTCCGCCTTGCGTCACCCTGTGAGGACCCAGCCGTCGTGTCACAGGCCGCTGTCCTCACAGCGCCTCGCCGGCTGTCGCTCCTGCAGGGTCCGGGCTGTGTCTCGGGTCGGCTTCCGCTGTGGCCCACGGCTGAGAATTTGTGCTTTCGTTTCCCTTTGTCTCTAAGTAGTTTCTAGATTTCCCGTGTGAGTTCTTCTTTAAATCACCAGCGGTCTAAAAACACGTCGTTCATTTCCAGTTTTGTGGCTTTTCCCATGTTCCGTTTGTGACTGACTTCCAGCTTTGCCCACTGGCTGGGGAGGGAGCAGGGGCCCGGTCACGTGGGGCCCTGGAGGCCACCGTGCGGGTTCTCACGGGAAGCCGAAGGCCACGAGGTCGGCCTGAGGATTATGCCATCAGTGGCAAACATGGGCCGCGGCGGGCGGAACGGACGGCTGGGCTGCTGCGGCTGCAGGGCGAGCGGGCGCGCCGGGTGCTGAGCAGCTGGGGGCGGGAGCAGCCACGGGTCTGCAGGGTCTGCGGGGCCTTCACTCGGCCTCTGCCCCTCCCGCAGGGCGCCCTGGGCAACCGCCTGAGCCCTGCTTCCTGCCCGAGGCAGCCTCTCAAGTCCCGCAGAGCCTCGAGTCTTAGTTCGCTTATGGGATACTCCGTGTGGCCTGCACACACCATTGTATTTGAGCCTCTCAGCGCACATGATTTTCTTCACAGCTAGGGCTTGCTTTGTAATGGAGTCAGACAGGGTAGCTTGAGTTGCTTCCAGGGCTGACCGGTACAAGGCTTCGCCGTCTGCTGTTTGGCTCTTTGGCCCCCGTCCACATCGTTTCCCCTCCCCAGCCCGGACGGGCAGCTGTGCCGGTGCCTCACTGCCCCGTGCGGAGGCGTCAGCTCGCAGGGCAGCGCTGTGCTGCAGTCCCACCCCCGGGGCAGTTCACCCCAGTGCTGCTCTTCATCAGCACATCTAGGAGTTTAGGCATGGCAGGCCCCGACACGTCCCGGGTCGGCGAGGGCCGAGCGCGGGCATGGCAGGACTCTGGACAGTTACTGTCACAAAGTAACAGGAAGACCAGCGTGCAGGAAAACCCTGTGGGCAATCTCGCTAGAGCGCTAATTCAGATTCAGCAGGTCTAGAGCAGCTACTCTGCTCTGGCCACCTGGCTCTCCGCTTCCCGCAGCGCCGCCGCTTCTGGGGGGCGCATCGCTCCTTGCCGTACGCCCCTTGGTCCTGCCAGGCGCAGGGCACGGCAGACGCCAGGTTGAGAGGAGCAGCGCGCCTGGCTGCAAAGCAAACCCGAGGAGTGGGAACGAAGGGAGGGAACGACGGCAGGGCGACGGGAGGGCGCCCGCTGGCTCCCCGGGCGTCAGTCCCGCTTGGGCGGTTTCTTACATGCCTGCGTCCAAGCCACCAGGCGCTCTGAGGGAGATCAACAGTCAGAGTGGGGTCCTGGCTCCGAGGAGCTACACGGACCGAGTTACCAAGGAGCTGTATCGAGCCACGGGTTTCCAAGGTGAGGGGCGTCGTTTCCGGGAGTAGGACGAACAGGAAACCTGAGCAAGAGGCGACCCTGGCCCCCTGAACCCGGGGAATGGGTCGTAACGAGGGCTTAGCACCTCCAGAAAGCTCTGTGGTTTGCACTCGGTGCCACTAACGTCTCGTAAAATGTGTGAGCAGGACGCCTTTCGGCGTGCCCGACCGACTTTGAGAAGCAAGGCGCTCCGGGCGGAGGACAGGGCAGGCACAGACCCCAGGCCCCGGGCCTGGCTGGGCCGCGCTCACGAGTGTGGGCAGCAGGTGGAACGCGCTCTCGAACGGCGTGGCGGGGACGAAGGCAGGTGGGACTTCAGGGACTTTTATGCAGGCCCGCCCGGGGGCCACGGAAAGCCTTTCCGCGGAAGACAGGACCTGGGAGAAACCAATCACCACTGCCCTGAGAGGTTGGAGAAAAGCGCCTTGTCACTCCCTCTTATGAGGGGACGCTGCCGTCACCCTCTCCAGGCTCGAGCTAGCACGCAGGGCGCTCGCACGGGAATTAGCGAGTCCTGACGGAGCACTGCCCGGAAAGCCGGTCGAGGCCAGGCTGCCGCCGGCGGGGTGAGACCCGCTCCAGAGAGGGCCCTGCAGTCTCCGTGGTGGGAAGCAGCGCACTGATGGCCCGCAGGTACGAAGCAACGTGATAAACTGCACGTTTTTAAGGAGAAGAACGCATCACTGCACTCAGTTTTTTCTCCAGTGTCAAGTAACGACTCTACCGGATCCCCTGCGGCCGTAACTCCCGGTCTGCGGGCAGTTACTCTCCGAGGCCTGTGGTGACCACAGGCTGAGAATCCCCCAAAGGTAGCGTGAGGGGCCACACAGCACCACCAGGGTGGCAAGGACGCGCGGCAGCCCTGGGGTCCCCCCGGATCTACCGGAAACAGCCGTGCCTTTGGGGTGGGCTGGGGCCTGGCTCCCCAAACGCGGCGCTCCCCGCCGGCCGGCGCCCCCGTGGCGGTGGGTGGACACTCACCGCTTGTCGATGGCGTCGATGTTGGAATGCAGGAGCCACAGCTCCTCGGTGTTGTCCTGCCGCGAGGACAGGATCAGGTGGTGGCCCGTCAGACACAGGGTCCCCTCGACGGCCGGGTAGAAAGGCCGGTGCAGCACCACATTGTCCACCCGCGGGGTCTTGATCAGCTCGGCGAACTCCATGTCCCCCGGCGGCGGGGGCCCGGC